ACTGGTACTCTCAGGTGAGTATCACCCTTTACTCCAACAGCACAATTTGCTATGTCAGTCAAAATCTTCTGTTAATATTCTTCTCTTGTCCTCCTTAGGTCATCACTAAAGCTGAGATGATTGAGTACTATGACGTCAGCGGTTGCTATGTGCTGCGACCTTGGGCTTTCTCAATCTGGGAGTCTATTAAAGACTTCTTTGACAAGGAAATTAAGAAACTGGGTGTGGAGAACTGCTACTTCCCTATGTTTGTCTCTCAGGCAGCTTTGGAGAAGGAGAAGTCCCACATTGCAGACTTTGCTCCAGAGGTAAATGAGACTTTGCACGGACATCTTCTGATGTTTACAAAAAGCAAACTGGGCAACATAAATTAAAGAAATAGGCAACTACAAGAAATCATAATGATATGCTCGCGCATGCATTTATGGATCAAGCACAGTCTTGATCCATAAATGGGACTCTGCCATTATTTTTATGGTCTTCCGTCATTTATATCCTAGTGATGTCAGGAGGTTAATTGAAAGGTTCAAGTCCTAACATTTAAGGTGGCTGTCGTAAAAATTCTCTCAGCAGGTCAAAACAGTCAGTCCTAGCTGCCCAAACAGACGAGTGCTCTTTACAGAAAGAGCGTGTATGAGATAATCATACAAATACAACTAGTAGTAAAAATATAGAACTGTAAATGTGCAATATCCTGTTATTACAGTTTTGGTTTCCCCTTTTTTAAGGTTGCTTGGGTAACTCGGTCAGGAAAGACTGAGCTTGCAGAGCCCATCGCTGTCAGACCCACCAGTGAAACAGGTCTGAACCACAGCTCTTTGGCTAACATAAAGCTATGCAGACTCACATTCAGCATACAAATTTGAAAACATTTAACATTGTTCCTAACCCCATTTATCTCTCTTTATTCACCTCAGTGATGTATCCAGCCTATGCAAAGTGGGTCCAGTCTCACAGAGACCTGCCAATCAAACTCAACCAGTGGTGTAACGTTGTGGTCAGTGTTCCCTTCTTTTCTTTAGTTAATGGTTGCAAGATTGCTCATGGAAGAGCACCCAGTTTAGTGTGCATCTCTTCTCCATTGTATAGAGATGGGAGTTCAAACATCCCCAGCCTTTCCTGAGGACAAGAGAGTTCCTGTGGCAAGAGGGACACACAGCATTTGCCACAAAGGAGGAGGCAGCTGAGGAGGTAATATACATGACAGAATGTAAAACAGTCGTACCTAGGCAGACATGTTCGAGTACAGTTTTTCTGGAAGGCTGTTTATGCGTCATCTGTATGCAGGTTCTGCAAATCCTGGATCTATATGCCAGGGTGTATGAGGAGCTAATGGCCATCCCTGTGGTAAAAGGGAGGAAGACTGAGAAGGAGAAATTTGCAGGAGGAGATTACACAACAACCGTGGAGGCATTCATCTCTGCCAGCGGCCGAGCCATTCAGGTAACACACTGGCTTTATTCTCTCAATCCTCTTACTCAAGTAAGCAAGTAAACATTGCATTGAAGCAAGAGTCCCCTTTTCCTCAGGGTGCTACGTCCCACCATCTGGGCCAGAACTTCTCCAAGATGTTTGAGATTGTGTTTGAGGACCCCAAGAAGCCGGGCGAGAAGCAGCTGGCTTTCCAGAACTCGTGGGGAATCACAACCAGGACCATCGGTGTTCTCACCATGGTCCACGGAGATAACATGGGACTCGTGCTGCCACCCAGAGTGGCTTGCCTCCAGGTGAACACTCAGTCACATGTACACATGGGATTTTATTTTTGTAACAGATGAAGATGTTAAGGTCCTTTTTTAAATTCTATTCTATTGATGTAAATGATGCTGCAACAGCCAGTCTAAGATTTCTCTTTCCTTTCCCAGGTTGTCATCATTCCTTGTGGGATCACCGCAACCTTGCCAGAGCAGGAGAAGGAGGTGCTGTTGGCTCAGTGCACCAAATACCTGAAAAGGCTGCAGGAGGCTGGTATCAGGGTGAAGTCTGACCTCCGAGACAATTACTCACCTGGCTGGAAGTTCAACCACTGGGAACTCAAGGTCATTAACAACATGATCATAATCCTTATTATAGTTTTAACCTGATGCAGAGGATAGTAATTGGAAAAAAACAGATGTCAGTTTGGTTTCTGACTCCTTGTTCTGTATGCTGGGGTCTCTCATCCAGGGAGTGCCTATCCGACTGGAAGTGGGCCCTAAAGACATGCAGCAGAAGCAGTGTGTCGCAGTGAGGAGAGACTCAGGAGCAAAGGTGACAATACCAGAGGCTGAAGTGGAGAAGAATCTGCTCAACATGCTGGAGGACATCCAGAACAGCCTGTTCAAAAAGTATGTTATACCTACTACACTGAGGTTTTGTTACAAATGGACACATCCCTAGTCGAGGACAGTTCTACCACAGGGCTTTTTGTTAGAGGATTTAATAATTGATACAAGTGTCAAAGTTAAAATATAAATAAGTGTACACATACGTGTACACAGATTCTGTGAGATTACATGGTGTCTGTAAACACTTGGTTAATGTCTATTTGTCAGAGCTTCAGATGATCTGAAGAGTCACATGGTGGCTGCAGACACAATGGAGCAGTTCCAGAAAGAGTTGGACCAGGGCAAGGTGAGTAACACAAACAAGCCACAACAGCTCAGACATCTCACCGTCTTTCCTCATCAGAATAAATAATTGATCTCATATATTTTCCTTTGCTTGATAGATTGTCCAGATCCCATTCTGTGGAGGAATTGAATGCGAGGACTGGATCAAGAAAATCACTGCTAAGTAAGTCTGACATATTGGTATTGTATACATAATGTTTCCTGTGATTTCCCCCACAGTTTGCTTGTTGTGCTCAGAGTGCTTAATTTCCACCACTGAAGGACTATTTGCTTGATCTTTTTTAGGGACCAGGACCTGGAGCCCGGTGCTCCGTCCATGGGAGCCAAGAGTCTCTGTATCCCATTCACTCCTCTGAAGACCCTCCAACCTGGACAAAAGTGTGTCAGCGGCAAGGAGCCGGCCCAGTACTACACTCTGTTTGGACGTAGTTACTGAGCACCTGCTCTTCTGGGGCAAGAGAATAAGCATCTTAGTAGAAAAGGGCTTTCCCACCTTCTCTGTAACTGTTTTTCCTTCTTGGTGTTTAACTTAAGTGAGGTGACTAAACTTTGGGATTCAGGAAGGGAACATGCTCTCTTTGTTTTGTTTTGGGTTTTTAAATAAAACAAAAAAACATGTCATCATTGTTACAACACTTTGGAAATGGAGCGGAGACAAGAGATGTTTACTCTTATAGCCGTTAATATCTAAATTGTTGATTATCCTCTAAAGGGCCTGTCAGAAAGAGACTCGCTGTCCAGAGGGGGACACAAGAATGGAAATGGCCAGGAGTTAGGCAGGTGTGTCAGCATCAAACATCTGATGAGTGAAAGCAACAATTGTACTTTAAAACCACTTTCTTGAATACTTTTCAAACTCCATACCTAAAATGCAAGATTTTCTGTACTTGAAAATTGATGAATTAAGGATGTTTGGCCTTTTTGTAAAACTCTCAAATGAGAATGTTACTGATGGGGAGGGGAAATCCTGAGAACTACAATGTCTCTTTGCCTGGCAACAGCCCCATCTCCCTCACAGCCAGACTATCTCAGGAATTCTGCAAGCACTCTTGCGGTTTTGCAGTTTTGTCAGCCCTGCTCTGTCTGTATGGTTACAGTATGTGGCTTTATATTTAACGGCTTAAAAAAAATCTCTTATCCCCCTGAGCCAAATGGTGCAGCTGTGATGAACCATGTGTATTGTCAATATCGCCTTCTGTCTCTTCTCTCACATGAAAGATCTCTGCTGCCTGTCTAAAATAAAGTAATTTCCATGGCAAACTATCCAGTGTATGTGTGTGGTTATGTTTTGTTATTGTTTTTTTTAAGCCTGGGTAAAATAGGGGGAGATAATCAAGTCCAAGATGATCTTTTTCTATTTTTGGAAAGCTGCATGGGAAAATAATAGTAACTAAAAAAAAACCCAGAAATATTACATCGGTGCCAGTTTTATGCATATCAAAGCTTGCAATCTAAATGTGCTGGAGAAGTACTTCAACAAACATGCCATCAATAAACTACAATCAAACAGAACTGAGTAAACTTGCATAATATTTACACTGGGTTTTAAATTATTGTGTGTGAGCTGTTTACTGAGCATAAGGAAGTATGTAAGGTAATTACAATATTCACATGATAAACCTTATCTGTTACGTAACGAGGAACTTCAGTCAAGATTAAAAGATTACACTAATTGTCTGTTTTCAGAATAAAAGTGTTATATGTTCACTTACAGTTATTCGAGTAATTGTACTTCATAGTGTGAGCTTGCTTTTCTTGCACATTCTGTGTTACTTAATAATTAAGAAATCCTTTGAGTTTGCAGAGATATTTTTCCTGCAAAAAAGCAGAGAGAATAAATCACTGAAGCAAAACGAAAGGGAAAATGGTTGCCACTCTTGTCTTTGTGTAATTTTGGCAGAAATTACTTGGCTTTTCCTTAATTTCTAGCATATACACCATTAAAGTGGTGGATGATGATGTGAAATGTCTCTAAAGTTTAAAATCATAAACACATCTTTATGAACAAAAACAACAGCCTGAAAATCCCACTCACGGTTTTAGGTATGGGTAAATATTCTGTTTTTAATCGGGACCACATTTAAAAATTCCTGGAAGCACTCCTGGTGCTGGGTTTCAGTCAGTCAGTCAAATATCTACAAGTATCTTTAATATGGCCATCTTAGAAACACACTTCTGGTCCCACCCACTTTCTATTCACATCTTCTTTTTGTCAGTGGAAGCCAGTCGGAAAAACCACTAAGAAGCACCGAGTCACGGTTTAAAGATGAGTAAAGTATATTTTGAGCTGTGAATCCTGCAAAGCTTTAAGAAAAAGACTGTGGAGCAGGAAACGAGCGATCCTCTGCATTTTACTGTGCCTTTTATGTTGAAATCTTGTGCCGGAAGTATATCTTTCTGGAACTCCCTCTGCTTAGTCCCTTTCCCTGCCAGTCAGTCTCTGCCGAACTGCACTCCAGCTTCTTGTAGCAAAAATGAGCAATAAAGGTTTGTCAGACGAGGCTGTGGCAGCAGTGTGTAAAGATGGAGACCCGATCACTAAGGTAAGACCATCGTAGCCCCTCATGGAGGTGATCTAAATTTACATATTGGCAATAATTCAAACCCAACAGGATAGCAGCTCCCAAACAGGTTAACCCGCTTTTAATGCTACGTCCATTATCGGACACATTCCTCCACAAAATTCGCGGTGGTTTTGCTCTCGTTTAGGGGGGATTCGTTTCTCTTCCACACGGTTTAAATTGCTTTAGTTAATGATGTACCAAAAAAAAAGAGAAAGAAAGAAACCAAAACCCCATGTGGTTTCATGGCAGGCGGATGTGAGTTCACCTTTCTAGGTGAACCTTCCAGTGGCTGCTGCCGTATGAACATAAAACTCGTCATCCAAGGCGTGCGTAAAACAAGTCTGTGCGTAATGGGAGAGCCGCCTGTACTTTTTAGAAAAGCTGCCATTTAGGTGCGGTGAGACCAGAATATACTCCGCATCCTGTTGCGAAAGGTCGGCAGGAATGGAAATACCTAACGTGGTCAGCATGTGTCGCAAGATATGGAAGTTGTCCAACAAGTAGGCTCACCAGGCGTCCCACTCATGTTTCGTAGTTCCACGTTTTGATTTTGGTTGTAAATCACAGAAATGACACACATTTGAGTCTTAAAAAGAGCTCCACTGTTGAGCCTGTGGTTCCCAAACAGCGTGCATTTATAAGGAGTAGGTGTGAGGTGGAATTGAGGAGTGGTTTGAGGTGTGGCTTGGGGTTTTATGTCAACCACATATTATTACTATAGCTGTACAAAAAGCAGTGAATGAAGTTTACAATGTAAGTACACGTAAAAGGCTCTGATTTGTAGTGAGGAAAAAAAAACCCTGTTTGCTTTCTCATGAAGAGAAAACCTCTTAAAGAAAAACTGTTAGGAGAAACTGCAAACTAAGTTACCTGTATTAAGGTTTCAGCCAGGCTAGAGATTTCAGCAGCCTTCAGCCACAGTGCATCTTTGGTTGGCAAGAGTGAAATAATGCCAGCATGGTGCCATGCAAGTTTAATCGGCACCTGGAAACCAGAGAAAAGTTACAGACTTAGAGAAGCGTAAAGATGGTTAACAGACAGAACAGCATAGGAAATAATATATAAATAGTTAATGATAAGCTCTTGATAGTTAAGGGCTTATTATTAACATAATGACAATAGTCTTGATTGAGTCCAAAGGCCGTCAAATGAACTTTATGTTGAATCTATGCATATAAGAAGTAGCAAAAAATGCATTCAGTTGAACACAGCTTATTCATCCTTCACAGGTTTCATTCCCAGACCTTTGTGAGGGTCATCATTCGTATGTTTATTCTTTAAGATGCTTTAAGATTTATAAAAATGTGCCTTTCAGCAGTAGCAATGCATCCCACATTGCCCTGCATTTCATTTATTGAGTTCTTAGTAACTTACTGTTCATGTTATTCACTGGATAGATGCTGTTTGCTCCACTCAGTCTGTTTTTGAAGTCACTACGTTAACGTGCTGCAGCCCACTTACCTTCCTGTTTGTATGGCTTCAAGTGCCAGTAAATACACCTACAAACAGAAACAAACCTAATTGTGTAGCGGAACTAAGTGGTTCCCTCTATTTTTCTTTAGCTGTTTCTGACTTTTTTGCTCTGGCTGGCACTCACATGCTTTGAAATTGAAGTTTAGGGTTTGCTCCCACGTGTAAAATATGAGGTTTGACCTGAGAAATAAAAGGCACTTTCATTTTTCAGGGGCTTTCCACTTTTGCTTTGTTGGTTTAATGTGTGCTGTATGAGTGATGAACTACTAGTCGGAAATATGAATGCAGCTGTGATGCTATCTGGGGAAATATATTGCAGCTGCGGTGTTTGTAGAGTTTCTATAGATATGAAACATTAACACAGAAGGAGGAAGGGCACAGGAAGGACAACGCACAGAGATAGGACTTAACTGTGAAATGCAGTCAAAGAGCAAAGTTTGGTTTTCATACACTTCAAACACAGAAATACGGAGGGTAAAAACCAGACGCCCACTTTACCACATTTTTCTTTTCTTATATTAACTCTGATAATTTCACTAATCAGGTGGCACATGATTGTTTGAACCACTGCATATCCATATGTTAAACACCTGCAGCCTGATGTCCCATTTGGAACTGAAAATGTGTAACACATAGTGGCAGTTTGTTTGACTGACAGAGACGAGGCTGCCATATCGCACCATCGGCCCCTCACCAGTAGGTGAAGTGTCTTGCCCAAGGACACAACGACCGAGACTGTCCTAGCCGGGGCTCGAACCGGCAACCTTCCGATTACAAGACGAACACCCAACTCTTGAGCCACGATCGACTACTGTCACTGTCTAAATCTAACTGAACACAGGCAAATCTGGCACGTTCAGCCCTATGATGCTGACCGCCTGTGTTTGTGCGCTCAGTAACACAGAGGTACAGTTCGACTGAAGGTGTTTTTCGCCGCTTAGTGCCAGGATACAAATTTTTCTCAGTCACGTTGCTAAACGGAGCCAGAGGTGAGGCTGACTGTCTCACACAAGTGAAATGTACAGTGCTTAACATCATAAAGAAATATAAAATGATTGTCTTGTACTCTGCTCACTGAAGTCCCGCCACTCTTGAGCAACTAAATGTAACGTGACAATTTGTGTTTGTTTTTTTGTTGAATGAATCTGAATTCCTCTGCAGTTTAAGGAAACATTAATTTTCATCCCTGTCATATTTGTAATTCAGTTATACTGTTACTTACCTCGAAGACTTGTCCTTAATCTATTATTATGTTTTTGTGTTAGGATTTCATGATGCAGCAGACGATGCTGAGGGTTAAAGATCCAAATAAATCCATAGATTTCTACACCAGAATCCTCGGAATGACGTGAGTATCTGTGCGGGCTTCGGTTTACTCAGCTCTTGAACCAAGTTATATTTGTTTACATCTTTTTATTTGTCACTACAAAGAGAGACATAAAATCGTTAAATGTGTTTTCAAAGTTTGTGTGGACGTTTCCTGACTATGTAAAATGTTTTCTCTGCGATTGATATTTTGCAGGCTCCTGCAAAAGTTTGACTTTCCCTCGATGCGTTTCTCTCTCTTCTTCTTGGGCTATGAGGACAAGAAGGAGATCCCTGCAGATGTGAAGGAAAAAACGGCCTGGACTTTCTCAAGAAGAGCCACCCTCGAGCTGACACAGTAAGGGTGGATGTTAGATACTACCAGGAACAAATTCATTTTATTGCATTGTGTGCATCTTCTTCAACTGTTATCTCCCTCATCCAGTAAAAAATGATCCTCTGTTGTTAAAATGTAGTCAAAAATCTAAAGTTAGTGTTGTAAGCAATCAAAAAGCAAACCAAGCTCCAGTTGGAATATTTACTTGAATCTGTTCTTCCAGTAACTGGGGTTCTGAGTCCGATGACAGTCAGACTTATCACAATGGAAACTCGGATCCACGTGGCTTTGGTAAAACTGCTTTCTTGTTGTGTTGAGTTGATAATGTATGTTTGTGTTGTGTCTGCTGCTTTTTGTGGATACTTGTGTGTCTGTCTGAGCACCGTCTCCGTTACTCTTGACAGGACACATCGGAATTGCAGTTCCTGATGTCTATGCAGCCTGCAAATTGTTTGAGGAGCAAGGAGTCACTTTTGTTAAAAAGCCTGATGATGGTAAGATGTGACATATTTGTTCAGGGTTATGATACTTTAATCATAGTTATTTATGTAGTAAATCAATATTTTTTCCACATAATAATTCCTAAAGTAGCTACATCTTCCGCACAGGGTTACTTTAATTACTTTTAATTTAATGACATGTTGATAGCCGGTTTCTGTAAACCTTTAATAGCTAATATTTAATATTTGTACTAATATGAAATTGAATTATCTTGTATTCAGCCTGTCTTTGTTGCACATGTCTGAATCTGAAGTTGAACTTTTATCCACTCAGTACTTACAGTTTATATTCACCCTCTCTTCTCTGTTATGTTTTTCCCCC